CTCGGCGGCGGGACCACAGGACCACAGGGGGGAACAGGAACGCTCGGCGGCGGTGGGAACAGGAACGCTCGGCGGAGGGGGAACAGGAACGCTCGGCGGCGGTGGGAACAGGAACGCTCGGCGGAGGGGGAATAGGAACGCTCGGCAGCGGGACCTCGGGAACTCTCGGCGGCGGGGGAACAGGAACGCTCGGGGGCGGGGGAATAGGAACGCTTAGCGGCGGGGGAATAGGAACGCTCGGCAGCGGGACCTCAGGAACTCTCGGCGGCGGGGGAACAGAAACACTCAGCGGCGGGACCACAGGATCACAGGGGTGAACAGGAACGCTCGGCTGCGGGACCTCGGGAACGCTCAGCGGCGGGGAACAGGAACGCTCGGCGGCGGGAGAGCAGGAACGCTCGGCAGCGGGACCACAGGAACGCTCGGCAGCGGGGGAACAGGAACGCTCGGCGGCGAGAGAACAGGAACGCTCGGCTGCGGGACCTCGGGAACGCTCGGCGGCGGGAGAACAGCAACGCTTAGCGGCGGGGGAACAGGAACGCTCGGCGGCGGTGGGAACAGGAACGGTCGGCGGCGGGGGAACAGGAACGCTCGGCGGCGGGACCACAGGAACTCTCGGCGGCAGGACCACAGGACCACGGGGGGGAACAGGAACGCTCGGCCGCGGGGGAACAGACGAGACAGACTCTCTGGTGGTCTAGCTGGAGGCTGGAGACGAAGAAGGCGGGGTCCCTCGGGAGGCCGGACTGGGGTCGGGAGCCGGCGAAGGCGGATCCCCTCTGGAGCAGGGGAGGCCAAAACAGGCCAAGGCTCAGGAACACGAGAGGCTGGGGCAGTCTCCCTGCCAGCGGGACTGTCATCCATCCATGGCAGGTCCCAGCATACCGAGCCAGCACAGACGGCGTCGACCCGCCGGGGAACAGGAACGCTCCGCGGCGGCGGGACCTCAGGAACGCTCAGCGGCGGGACCTGGGGAGCAGCGGGAGCGGGGAGCACGCTGGGGAGCGGCGAAGTAATGAACTAATCAGTCAGAACTGATGAAGCCTCTTGGATGAGAGGTGGAACGTCTTCGAGGAACTCAAGTCCAGTTGCTACGATTAATCCACGAGAACAACCCTGACCTGGATGACTGAGAATCTTCACAGACGTGTTGATGATGGTCGTTTACTGAAAAATAAACACATGAATTGGGCTCCATCTTGTGGAGCATCACAATATTGCAGCAGCATCATACAAAAGCGTCAGTCTTTGTGTTAACTGTTAAACATCCTGCTGTCCTGAGAGGGCCCGGGAACATAGAGGTGGACGAGGTCTTTACAAAGAGGGAATTCTTCACCAAGCAGAACCATGATCCAGATGGACAACCCATAGATCAGAAAGTGAGAAAGTTCTGGTGTTCACAAGTTATTTTAATCTCCAGAGGTCATCCTGGGTCACACATAGAGGGTGGGTGTTGACATGTGGAGTCTTTTTCTACACTCGTCCAAGGAGAGAACTAAAACAGACCAGATATCTTCCATAATGGAGGTCTGACATGGAAATAATTGTGTCTCTGCATTTAATCAACTAGTTGGTGACTAAGATGTTTCACTATTTTAACTCAGAGGATACTGAAATGCCTCCAGATGATTTTGTCCAGCCTGGGAAGAGACTTGTCTTTAGTGGGATGTTTTATTTTATTTTCTTCACATAATTCAGGTGTGTTTATAAGATGTCATTTCTGTGAGTTAGAGTGTAAACTGTGAAGACTAAATGACCTAAGTTGCACTTTCGCTGCCTGACATGTCAGAATGTCTCCTGTGTAAAACATCTGCTCTCTTAGCCGTAGTGTAAGTGTAGTTTGCTGGGATTTTATTACTGTGTGATAAAGTTTCAATTCTATTGTGCACATAGTGTTTAAAAGTCATTTTTCAGATCTCCATGAGGCCGTTCATGCAGTTTTAAGATGTGTTAAAATCAAGGGCCAGAACAGTTAATAACTGACTTGCACTTAGAAGAAGATAGAGGAGGTCAATGTGGGGCTTACGGAGCTTATTCTAATAACTTAAGTTGCACAAATGTTAACATTGCATTTAACTTAAATTTGGCTTCTGAGATAAAAGATGAAGCTGACCAGTCCCTCACAACTACACATTTCTGCATTGTTTACAGTCTAAGTCTTCTGCAGCACAACACTTATGCTAGAAGAACCAACATCAGGACAAGAATAACGAGGACTTGGACGGTTTTTCCAAGTTTATTTTTGCTTCCAACAGCGGCGGAGTTGTCGTCAGTCCTCCTCCATCTGCGCGAGCCGCCTGCTGCCTGCCTTGGCCACCGTGATGAGGATGATGAGGAAGAAGCCCACAGTCCAAACACCTGCTACAGGCAGCACCACCGTCGTCAGGATGCCTGGAAGAAATGTGGCGCTCACATCAGAGACGGTGGGAAAACAGGGTCCAATAAAAACAACAGCTCAGTGCTCACACAGGAGCAGGAAGTGGAGTAAATAAAAGTGTGATGAAGGAGTAGGAGTTTACTGGATTGAGCTCTGTTTGGCATTTCGATCCTGATGGGTCCATATGACAGGAGGCCTTGGCTGGGATCTGCTCTCACTGCTTCCCTCTTACTGACAGAATTACAGTTCTGGAAAGAAAACACCTGAACTCAGAGCACGTACAATAAACCCTCTTCAATGGTTTCTTGGAGACTAAGCAAAATGCAGCGCAAAGTTCTAACAGAGATGTGATTATTTCCTTCGAGACTTGACCAATACAGAAATAAATGTGGGGCCTAAGTTCATCTGGGCGCCTTTAGGTGACACAGTGCGACGGTGGGAAGGCAGTCGGAGCTCACGGCTATGCAGGACTTGTGGTCGTCCGGCTCACACAGCTGCACGGTGCAGTGAAGGTAGAGGTCATGAGGCGACGCCGTGAAGCGAAACATGTCGAAGCTGTAGCGAACGGTGGAGCTGTCTCCGTTGCGTCCGGACTGTCCCTCGGTCACGTTAAGGAAGGAGACAGTCGGGTCGCTCACACACCTGGAAAGCAGCAGAGGGGAGGGTTAGTGAGGCGCTCGCAGGGGGCACAAAACCAAAACCGTTGATGTGACGAGATGTTCGGACCCGTTGAGAATCAGAGTGTGGACGGATCCGTCTGTGGAGTTCGGCTCAGCAAACTGTGTGGCCCAGCACTCGTTAACCCGAAGCAGGAAGAAACCTGCAGGCTCCGTCATGGTCACTTCTACAAACACCTACATGAACACAGTTTGACAAGCATGCAGTCATCAGGTTAAACAATCATCTCATTCTTCTAACTTTGATCTGTTTTGTGGCTTTCATTCTCATTTCATGGACTCCTGTATATTCTATTATATGCTCTGACACGTGTCTGAATAAGAACTTATTGATCAAAAATTTACTAGACAGTTTTCAAATCATCAACAAAAGATTACAGGAGCACAGTAGTGTATCGGCTCCATTGTTTTAGGGTTTTTTTTCTCCCCATGAATAAAGTTTTCTTACTCCTATACTAAGAGTTTATTCAAATTAAGCCTGTTCCTGCTCCAGTGACCTTTTACCAATAACAGTCCTTTAGTTGATTTTTTTTTTTTTTTTGCCCATTGTATCCTAAATAAAACCCTTTAAGTGTCAAACCCTTATTTTTAAGGTTTTTAATTGTCACAGTTACACCAAAATCTCTTTTGTTTCTCTTGTAGGCTCAAAATGATATCAGTCTCATAATGAATCTAAGAAAACAGAGCATTTTTCCCCGACAATCAGTTCACACGTTGGATTCACTGTAAAATATCTGAGTCAGGATCCAGTTAAAACATGTACTTTTGGAGGTTTAGACTTAGAGACGAGTCGCTTTAACAAATCCAGACACACTTTCACCAGCTCTAAAGAACCTGAAATCCAGAATTGCATCAAAATGCCGACACTCTCATCTGGACAAGTGAGCTGACCACATGTTATGAACGAAGGCCTGCACCGTGACGGACTGAACCTGCTCCTACCTTGTCTCTGAGCTCAATGGTTGGAGCGCTGGTGTAGGCTTTAGTGTACGTGTCGTCTTTGTACAAAACCATCTGGATCGTGGCATCGAGCTCGTCCACACGCATCACCATCTCGCTGAGGAGAGGCGAGAAGGAATCGCTCAACACACTACTAAGTAGTGTTTACATTCAAGTCACTTCAGCACAACAGGATTTCTCAGGATACAAACATGTGAAAGAGTTAGAAGACTATATCGCAGAGTTCCTTCAATCGAATATTTTCCTCACCTTGAAAAAGGGACAACTGGAAAAGACAGACTGACTCTCCTGAGGTATGGATAGACGCACGTGAAGTCCATCTTGATGACTGGATCTCTGATGATGTTTCCAGAAACCTGAGGCTCCGACATTAGACTCAGGGAGTACGAGATGTGGGTCACATTTTTCTGCAACACAAGAACCCGAGAATTAACGACTCTCTTAAAACATTGGCTCTTTTCTAGGCTTTCAGAGGCCTTTAAAGTAGAAACGCTGCAGCTGTAACCTCCAGCAGTCTGCCTCCACAGCTGAGGTATTCGTCTTTGGATATCCTGGACATGTAGTACGGCACTCCGTCGATCACCTTCCTCTGGGCACGGCAGGATTTGTTGGGCAGGTGGAGGGACTCCAGCGGCACGTTGTGATACTTGAAAAAGTCTTCCATCGCTCTGATTTCTATGTAGTCTTTACTGCACATCATTTTGACGTGTGCATCTGTAGGAGGACAAAGAAAAGGCTTTACACTCATTAGGATTTATTTCCCATCTGTTTGTGAATCCTCAGTTTAACATCAGCAGCGTCACATCAGTTTGGATGTACTAAAGACATGTTTGTCCCTTTTGATGAATGTTTACATGTCTTGTTGCAGGCAGGGATTTAAAACCTGTGCAAAAAACCTGCTGCAAAGATGTGGGCACTTAGAAGGCAAGAAAGAAAGTAAAGCTACAGTGTTGACTGCATTATGGGAAACGCAAGATCCAATGTTTTGGAAGTCTGACCCTCACCGGGACGGAAAGTCAGTGTAGCTGAGAATTCATGTTTCAGCTTTGTGTCACGTAATGCAGCTTTATATTGAGTGCAACCCTGAAAGAAAGAGGATTTAACAACATGAAGCACAAGAAGTTCTACCACCTTCAGCTGTTTCCTTCCACTGAAGCAGTGTGTTGATGTCTCTTGGTATAAATGTGGTTGTAGCTCAAGTTTCCAGCAGAATACAGCGAGAACAAATTGTTTTCCAAGGCACCAGCTCGTGGCTGGACTAGAGGTTATCATGGGGAGGCAGATCTCTGGACACGGGATCAGTGGTATCGAATCAGAGCGAGCGTGTCAGTAAATCAGCAGCTTCATGACAGAACACCGTCTAAAGAAGTGGCCACTGAGGAGGAGAAGTGGCTCTAAATTGCATCCCAGGGGAGAAAAATGGCCCCAAACACTTTGCAGTTTAGCTGCTTTCACAGTGGATGGTGGAAAAAGTTCTATTGATTTTACAACCAAAGTCAAAGACGGTGGCAGTAACAGAAACAAACATGTTAGGAGACTCACAGGAGAGAGAACGAAACCACGTCAGATATATTCATCTGGAGTTGGACACTTGCACCGAATCGACCACCTGGTGCATGATTGTGGAGAAAGCTTCACACTGCAGCAGGACAACGAGCCCAGACACACCTCAGAGTGCCGACTCTCACTACGTTTCCTCCACAACCATCGGCCTTCAGCCCCCGGAACATTTATACTCCTGGTAACATAATCAGACCATGCTGGGATAATAGGAGTTGTCAGGTTTTGTACGAACTCGAGTGCTGCTGTCATTAAAGATATTCTGAAACTCATTTTTCATAGATTCAGCTGTTGAACCAAATTGTTGAAGTGATGTCATCATCAGTCGTGAAACAACTGAAGCGAATGCAAAACTGAAGAAGCTCGTTGTAAACATGACTTCTGGATTGCTGCTGTATATAAAAATACACAGCATGTCTGTTCATGTGCATGGCATAAATCATCTACTTTAATGAATAAATCAGTAAAATAATTTCTATGTTTTGATCTTTTAGGCAGTAAAAGCATCAGACTGCCTGTTCACACACTTCATCAGATTAACAGGACAAGCTGATGCTCTCCAGGCAGAGTGAAATATAAGGTACAAAAGTGGAAAACTCATTTGAACAAAGCCTACTTTTGTCACACCGGTCAGCATAAAACCCGACGGCACACTTGCAGCTCTTCTGATCTTTAGCTAGAACACATCTGGTGTGGTCAGTGCAGTGCTCCACGCTGCAGATTCCTGCAGAGACACAGTTAGAAAGTCTGTAAAATGAGCCAGTTTACACCTCTGACATTTAATCCAGATTGGTTTTTTAATCCTTACCTTCAACTGTGTGGCACACAACGCCGAGGAAGAGCAGCAGGACCAGGCTCAGCTGATTTGAAGAAGGAATATTTCCACTTTTATTCTGTTTCAGACATTATCAGTCCTCATGAAAGCTGCACAAACAACCATTTATCTGACTTTTATTACACTGCAGGGAAATAAAGCGCCTTAAAGTTTTGTCCACACCCACCTTTAAGCCGATTAGGACCATTGTTGTAAAATATATAATTATTTATTCCGGTTTTAATGCAATATTTGCAGTCAAACCGTCTCTCCTCGGTGTCACTGTCGTTTTCAACACCTGCTGCTCTGCAATTAGAAACACCTGAAGGGTTTTGGTCGCTGTGGGTTGATGCTCGTTAGACAAAATGGTCTTTTATATGAGTTCGCTGATGAAACAAAACAATATACGTCCAAAATTTAAAACATTTTCTCAAATTCTTATCATTTCTGAGCATGTGGGCTCCAACCAGCATGTCAAATGTGAAAATGTGCTGCTTTTGTTTAACACGACTTTATTCTAAGCCATTTTCATTATTTAAATTGATTATTATTTAATAATATTTAATTTTAAATTATTTTAATCCATTTAAATTTCAAGGCATTTAGTCTGGGGGATGTAGATGATATTTTTTAGATTAATAATAAGTGAAAATCAGTGCTGTCCTCATGATATTTTCATAATAATAAAAATAACACTGCAGTAAAATTAAACCAAAAAACAAGCAAACACAAAATACCCACAGCACAGACAGACTTCACACAACTCTCATGCCACGGATCAAAAAGGAAAATGTTTTAAACATTACGGAGTCTCCACCAGATGTCACTATTACTGTTTAGTACCGGCTACAATGTACTATATCATAATTTATTGTATGTGTCAACGCTCTGGTTATTGATTAAAACCATAAAAACTCTTTTCTGTGTCTTAAAGTTCCATTTTTAGAAGGTTTATTTCCACTAAAACAATCTCCTCCTGCTTTAAAACAGCTGAGACGTAACTCTGCACCGTTGCTTCCTCTCGATCTATGAAATCCTGTCTTCCTTCACCCACTCCAGCTCGAGCACACCAGCTCACCTACAGCTCAAACACTGCCCTGTAGCCGTATATAAAACACACAGATGTATGCACACACTCTCTGCACTCTTTAGTTTGACAATCTATTTCCTCCTTTATTATTTATGACTTTGTGTTTGTTAAGTTGTCGTCATCAAACAGCCTTGTGGAAAAGTCACTTTGCATTTCGCTGCCTGTGCTGCGTGTGACACATAAAACTCTTGAATCTACATGTTTGAACCAGAGATCGATTCTGAAGAAGAACAATGATACAGAAATCCTGTCGATCCTGCAAGTTGACAGGATTTCTGGTTAAGTATGAAACACTGGGAGGTCTGAATGTGTATTTCTGAGACAGTGATCGGTGGAAATACTCGTGATGTGTCCTCTAGAATATGAAAGACACCATAAGGATGTGGTGTCAAGACAAAAACTCAAGAGGTCTTTAAGCTCCACTACAAACCAGTGCTGATCTCTAAGCTGTCACTGGTGGATCTGCAGCAACATGTTGATCCCTTATCCACCGAGGCAGCCAGTCTGGATGGAGAAGGTTTTAGTGTCAGCAGGTCACAACTCTGTAGTGATCGTTTCACAGTCGGAAATGTCCGTGTCTTCAGGCAAAGCCATAAGTGGGTCACGGTACTTCATCATGTGCCAACTCGTCACACCCGCAGGCTGGAGTCCATGTTCTCAGACATCATCAGGGTGGAGACCATCTGATGGGATCCGACGGAGCCAGAAATGGTTCTGATCAGTGAGGTTTGGACTCAGCAGTTCATCTCTGGTTGGAATCTTTGTTCTCTGAGAGATTGTTCAAGCTAAGAAATAAAAAAAAAGGTCTGCAAACTTTCATACGGGAGGAGGTGGTGAAATAAAAACCAGCTCTTCGACATCCACCATCCTGTTTTCATAAGGAAATGATGACAGCACTTTATCTACATCTGTGCAATACATAAATATGATCATTACTGAAGCAGATTTTTCAAAGCACTGGAAGCTTTTATGCTACAAATGTCAGATAATTCACAGAGACAGTGACCGTATTGTCCAGTTTTCATGTAAATCAATTTACTGTCAGATATAAAAATATTTTTAAAAGCTAACTAAACCAAAACTCTCATAATAAATCACTATTTGTTCTCATCAACTGACTGAACTCCTGCACAAAAAATAACCTCATGAATTCTTGAACGTCATCTTTAGGCCTGTGTGACACTACAACAGCAGAGAAAGCCCCAACTGTAAAGTTTTGGTTAAAATAATCCAACTGTGACAAAAACTGAAAGCATATTTCAATCCAAATGTCCACTTCTGTAATGCTAAACAGTGGTGATGTGTGAGGACAAGGACGTGAGATTGTGAAGCTAAAACAGCTCAAGGATACTGCAGTCAAAGACACACTAAGGCGCCGTCCTCCTGAACAGCTCGCTGATGTTTTCCATACAGACTGTAATGCTGTGTGGCTCTAACTTAACATCACACATTTGTCATCAGAACTGCTGCAGCTTTCTAGTGACCTTAAGCTTTAAAAGACTGGAATAAAACCTGTTGTTTTTAAAACAGAATTTGAGCAGACATGATTGATCAGTGAGGGGGAAAAGCTGTAAAGTGTCTCAAGTATTTCAGTGAAATGACGTCAATGAAACCTAAAACCAAATATTCATTGTGATGTTTTTCTTACCTTATGGCACTCAAAGGTTTTCTTCTGATGCCTCGTCTCACCTGTAGCTGCATCACGTCATAATCAAAACGACAACAGAACAAATCTCCAGAGGAAACGTTGGTAACAACCTTTATTATCAGACCCATGAGATCAGAGGAAGATTACAGGTTGTAGTGATGAGAATATAAAATGTGTTTCTGCCTCTTACTGTACATGTACTGATAAATGACTGAACTCAGGGAATAAAATGACAAAGAAAGCATGAAAATATGTAATGAGCAGGTGGAAAGTTGTAAAATCTACACAGTAGGAATAGCTGGCATGAAATACATTTGTGTTAAAGTGGTATCACTGATTATCGGTACTGCAGGACAGCTTCTTCAGGCATCTTTTCTTGCAGCATCCTGGTGCGGCGGCTCTTCGTCGGTCGGCAGTGGTGCGGTGCCACCCTGGTGTTGTGAAATAGCCGGGTTATAGGAGGTGTCTGTCATCGGCCTGATTCACAACACCAGCTGCAGCACACACACCTGACAGGCTGCTCTTCTGCTGCCGGAGGTGTTAAAACACACACACACACACAGGCATGCAGATGATTGTGTTTTTGATGTTGCAGAGAGAAGAACATCTCACTCACTGGAGACGTAAAGACAGAATGTACCGTTTACTGAAGCCTGAACGGCCGGTTGGGACCGAGCAACAAGCTGGATCTACATCAGAATAAAAGCCCCGTAGCTGTCACAACAACAGTTTTAAAGTAGATGTAGACCCGAGACAAAAACAACCAAAAAAAAAAGCTGCTCGACTACAACAGCATGGAGCCCGTAGTGCTTGGCTCGGCTCTGTTGGTGGCCACAGATGAACCCAACATCTCTGTACAGTTATGTGGAGCAGCCAAGACAGAATGAGCCTCCATCTGTGTTCTCTCAGGCCAGACTGAAGGACACAGAGCGTGGGCCACGAATTCAACAAGGGGGGAGATGGATTATTTCTAGTAAAACGCTGCTGCTAAATGTTTAAACAGGGCTGTAGTAGTTCAGGTAAAGGTGTGGATTCTAACAGATGCAGGTATCTACAGTGTGAGGTGGAGGAGAGAATAGAAATACTTTATTCATCCCCAGTGGGACATTTTGGAGCAAAGTTACCACCACCGTAAATACTGATAAATCAGCAAAAATAAACAGTAAGACAATATAAAACGTACAATAAGTGTAATATGTCTGAGTAGAAAAGTCCTATGTGATGGACACCGGCTGCTTGTCAGAGCGTAATGTGTTGAAGTGTGAATGTTCAGCAAACTGGGTCCACATATTTCCCACATGATTCTCTAACTGTGGTGCCAAAAATTTGGGAATCTGCAAAAACAAATATTGCAAAACCTTGTTAGACCAGTCCAATGCTATATTCTGCAGTTTAGGGTTTAAAAAAAAAAAAAAAGAAAGTCCATTTGGTTTTGTTCTCCAGTGATCGGTTCTGGAGCTGAACTCCGGCCAACCAAGCACCAGCCGGGAGCCAGAGGAACCTTCTGATTTTGAACCAGTGTTATCAGAAAACACAATTACATTCAGTCTGACTCGATGCTGCTGCTGCTGCAGGGACAAAAACAATTCTGAGTAGAGCTGAACAACTCTGTGGATGGATGACTGCAGTTTGTACCTTATATTGACCTCAAGCAGAAGAACAGAGGTGTGTCTAAAAAGAAAGGCTTCTCTTTAAATGATCTGTGTTTCCACTGATCAGGCTTCTAACCGTCCCTCTGATCACGTTAATGAACAATCAGCTGCTCTGATCGCCGTTTGTTCATGTAAATAAATGATGAAACAAACTACACAGATGAAGACACTAGGAAGGAAAATGTTCGTTTACACAAGTTCAAAATATGTAAATTATTACTCCTGGTCCCGCAGAATAAACACGTCAACATCTGACACCTTTCATGACGTGCTGTGAAATAAAACTCCCTCCAGAGGTGACGATTAACGGTTTCAAACGGTTGAATAAATCCACCTCTGCAGCTTCTCGGACTGAGAAAACAACCAGCTGGGGATCACGTAAAAAAGTGAAAACTAATGCTAGAACTGATTCAGACATTTACAAGACTGTAACTGTTTAAAACAGATGCACCAAATTAAAGGTAAAAAAAAAAAACATGAGGCTGAAAAAGAAAATAAACATAAATAAATGTAATGAGGATAAAAATGTTTCAAATGAAAAAAAGACAAATGAAAAGTCAACATTTTTTTTTATTCCAAATCATTAAAGATACAAACACGAAACAACAAAATGGAGAAAAAATGAACAAAAAAAACAACAGACTGACATCTGACAGGAACTCAGATGGATGAAATAACGTAATGAACGTCTGTACAAAGAGCATGGCAGACAGGTGTGTGTGTGTGTGTGTGTGTGTGTGTGTGTGTGTGTGTGATGTGGTCTCAGTTCATCAGTAACTCCATCTGCACCAGCCTTGCGTTGGTGTCTCCGGCCATGT